ATATCATTTGTGAATTTTTCAGGAACTCGATCCACCTTTTTGCATTCAGCATGCTGGCAGTGTAGATCGCTTGCCGACTTCCAGTACCTGTATGAATCTGCTAAAGCTCCCAGAGTTTCCGGATGAGAAAACTCTACGTGAAAAACTTTTATACGCGATCCAAGCTGGTGCAGGTTTTGAATTGAGTTAAGCTTGATTTTTCCGAATTTTAAATGAATCCGTTTAGTTTAAATCGGTGATACCTGATTGTATATAAATTGTAAGCGTAATTAATAATTAAGCGCGTGTTCGAGAACAAAGTGCGAATACAAAAGTCGTCATATTTCATTAATAGATAAGCGATTCGCGTCAATTCGATGCAATGTTAATTAAGTGCTTTAAATGTACTGTGTTTATCTAGTAAACGAGGACAAAACGGGTTTCGTTTGAACCATTCTTTCTCCCACCATAGGGCAGAATGACTCAAGAAATCTTCGTCGGATCAGGCAATGTACTACATTGTCAGGAGGGGCCAATTAATTAGGGGTAACGCGTCTACTAAGGACAGTACCACCAATACAGTGAACAAATGTGTATTGTTTGTAAGAATACATTAATTTACCCTATTTGATATGTACTAACTTACACGCATACAGGTAGATGCTCACACACACACACAGGAACATACACACGTATATACACAACAAATATTTTATTTTCTGTATATTTTTTGCCATTGGCCTATAATTGTAAATTGTGTATATTTTTTGTATTCATCATAAGTACCGACTACAACTACATCAATATTGAATGTACATGAGAAAATAGAATATATGTATTTATGAATTCATTAAATTAGTGTAAATAAAAGAAAGTCCTGAAGTGTTATATATACATTTATTATAGATATGTATTTTGAATTTTATGACTAGTGTTTTATGTTTTAATAAAAGTTATATAGAATTGGATTGTGATTTCGAAATAGTGATAAAAATTTAACTGGAATTCGTTTAAACGATATTTAATTTGAAATGTATCATCGTACGCTAATCGTTCACCGGGTCATGTTCTCATATCGCGCTCGTCCCTAGATATGTATCTATAAAAATGGCACGCACATTTAGTGGTAAAGCTTATGTCATTTGTGTAACATGGCGTCCAACGAGAGTAGCAATTTTCAGAAAGTTTTGGAGTTCAAAATTTATAAATGCTCCAGCTTTTCTGCATTTTATGTGCCAGAGTAAGCGATTCGCTAATACCCAAATAATTTTCTTTGCGTATACGCTTTATAATTCCTGGCTAGAAAACAGTTATTATACGGTAACGATTTTCTAACCTAACGTAACGGTTATGATGAACAACAAGACGCTTTGTATATGAAATTATAAAATAAATAATTGGGCTAATCACGCCGGATTTGTTGCCAAGCGTTAGATTAACATTTTCTTTTCCTTTTTTCAGAAATATCCTTGTAGATAAACCATCTGATCAGACGTCACGTTGGGCTTCTGATATTGACACTCACCCACAGGTAAACATTGTTCAAAAATAATACGATATATATTTATAAGCGCAAAAAATTCTTTTACAAAATTTTTGAAAAAATTTCAACTGTAATTTTATGTTTAATCGACTGAAGAAATTTAATACTTTATACCGCCAATAATAATAAATGTGTACAATACATGTTCCGATTTTTCAGTTTCTCATATTAAAATTACGATTTCCCTCGATCGTGACAACAATTACATTTGGTAAATATGAGAAAACGCATGTGTGTAATATAAAAAAGTTCAAGGTATATGGAGGTTTAGAACCAGAAAACATGATGGAGCTTTTGGAGAAGTAAGTGTTACATTTGCAATCTAAAGTAGTGATGTATCTATATAATACTAATAAGTAGTTATATTATTTTAGTGGGTTAAAAAATGACTCAGTGCCAGAAACTTTTGATTTACAACATGTACTTGGAAATGAGGAAAATTATTTTCCAGTTAGATATATAAAGATTCTTCCATTACAATCCTGGGGACCTAGTTTTAATTTTTCTATTTGGCATGTACGATTAACTGGGACTGATGATCCTAAAATTGTGAAGCCTAGTATTGAATGGCTCAATGCGGTAAATATACATATATGTGTGTGTGCGTGTGTGTGTTTTAAATTACATAAATATGCTACAATTTACACTTTGTGAAAGCATTCAATCTCATATTGCAGTATCGTCAGAAAGAACTAGTAAGGCTGTGTATGAAACACTTCAGAAAACTTGAACAACCAGAAATTGTGGAAGCTTTGCAAAGAGTTACAGGTGTTCCACTTGAACATCCTAGATTGACAGAATTATACGATGTATTAGTTAGAAAGGGTGATCATTTGCAAGCTGAATGCTTTATCAGCAATGCTGTAACAAGTGAGTCTTCCTTCTCCTTCTCTCTTTATTTTAGAATATTTTAATGCAGTTTTGGAAAGTGATATGATTTACATTACAGTGGGACTTTTTAATGACTATATCAATGCTCAGGCTTACAGAGCAGTCTGGACTAAACTATCGTGCAATGATATTAAGCCTGGAATGAGAGGTGGCCACCAAATGGTACTTGATCCATCCGCGGAATATCTTTATCTTTTTGGAGGATGGGATGGACATCAAGACCTTGCGGATCTGTGGGCATATAATATAGCTACGAAAAAGTGGTCCATCATATGTTACGACACCGGAATTGTGGTAAGTAACCGAATAGAAATACGTATCGTCCTATAAAAAACTTAAATACGAAATTCTAGGGTGGCCCAAGTGCAAGATCTTGTCACAAAATGTGCCTTGATCCAGAACGCAGACAACTGTTTACATTTGGTAAATACCTGGACGTCGAATTTAGAACGCCGGGAACTTTAAAAAGTGATTTTTTTGTATATGATATTGAATCAGATAAATGGACACAGATATCAGAAGATACAGAAGCTGTAGGAGGTCCTCAATTAATTTTCGATCATCAAATGTCTATGGATGTTGAGAAACGAACCATTTACATCTTCGGCGGTCGCGTTATCGTTTCGTCAATGAAGTAAGCATACCGACGCTAAAACCGCTTTAATTAACACTTTAACGTGTTTATCTAATCTCCAGTTCCGATGAAACCGGTACGGTATCAAGTTCAATCGAGCCAATTTTTTCTGGGCTATACTCGTATCACGTACCGACTGGTACTTGGAATAGACTTGCCTGCGACATTGCAAGACCATGTCCTTCTAATGCATTAACTATTAGATCCAGAGCCGGTCATTCTATGCTATTCCATTCTGTGTGTATTCAAACTACCGTATAATACTAAATTATACAGATGTAGTAGTATTTTACAAAATTTCTTTACCCTTTTATAGGGGACGCGAAAATTATATATTTTTGCGGGTCAAAGAGGAAAAGAAGATCTCACCGATTTTTTCACATACGATGTCGATACAAATCAGATCGAACACATCTTCGACGATTTTGGTGCAAAAGATTCGAATCACGTTCCGGCAGCTGGTTTTACGCAAAGAGTTACAATCGATCCTGAATTGGGAGAAATATATGTTTTATCGGTTTGTATCGTAAATTCATTTTCTTCTTAAACATATCGATAATAAAAGAAGCAACGATCATTGTTATCAATTGAATTCTCAATTCTGTCAAATTGTTATTTATTCAGAGCTTAAGTAAAGATAAAGGTAAAAGATTTGATAGCGTTCAGAATTCTCTCTGGATGTTCAATATTAAGAATAACAAATGGTCATGTATTTATCAAAATGACAATGTTGGAGAAGACTATTGGAAAAAAATGCAAGATTACGAACCGCGTCCACGATTTGCACATCAATTAGTTTATGATCACATAAAAAAGGTTCGTTGCATATTATTTATAAGAAAGTTCTGTCAGTTTAGCTCATAATAGTAGCGGTGTACAATATTTCATTAGGTTCACTTTTTATTTGGAGGAAACCCCGGAAGACCTTGGTTTCCGAATCTAAGACTCGATGATTTCTGGCAATTAAAATTATGCAGACCATCTCATGAAGAAGTTCTAAACAGATGCAAACTACTTATTAGGAAGCACAAGTTCAAAGAGCTAGCTTTCAATAATAGCGTCGTAGCACTTGAATACCTACAGACTAAAGTATCGGAAATTATCGATCATAACGATGTGGGGCAAACAAGAGAGGTATTGGCATTTATTTTCTTCTAATTAGTAACAAGGAATGAATATATATCGTCAGTGTGGCATTTTCAAATATATGCATTTCTCCGTTACAGTTTCAATTGTTAACATCTCTTCTATTCAGAGAACAAACCTCTTTACTAGGAGAAGCTACAAACTATTCAAATAGTTCAGGCACCATATTAGGAAATTTAGTTAACACGGATACGACGATTACGACGCCGACGACTACGACGCCGACGACGACGACGACAACGACGACGACGACGACGACGACGACGACGACGGCGACGGCGACGGCGACGACGACGACGACGACGACGACGACGGCGACGGCGACGGCGACGACGACGACGACGACGACGACGACGGCGACGACGACGACGACGACAAGGACGACGACGACGACGACGACGACGACGACGACGACGACGACGACGTCGTCATCGTCGTTGTCGTCGTTATATTGTTCGAACACGCGCGATATTCATACTTCGAGAATCGAATTATACGATAAACTGACCGAATTTTTTCCCGAATCATCGACGCAACCCCGTGCTAATTTAATCGATCTTTTACCGTTGTGATCCAACAGTGATTAAGATCTAAGAATATCCAGATATGCAAAGCAAAGAGATTCCTTTCGTTCTCCCTCGTAAAAACGTTTGCCGCGATATGGAAACGATTTTATCTTTCTGAAAGGGAAACCTTATTTTTATAGCGTAATTCTTGACATCATTTTAAAAGGGTAAAGAATTTTCACTCAGAGACTTGCGTCTTGCGCGTATACATACGCATATACTGAATTTGATTTCTTTTACATAAAGGATAGCTTAAACAACATTATACTAATATATACTTCATTGTGATATACATAAGCAAAGGGTTATTAAGATATAAGGTAAAGATATATTCCGTACATTTGTTTTTGTTTTTGTATCAAGCTTTCGTTTGCATTGGATTGTTTTAGCTACATTCATTGTAATTTAGGTTTCTTAAATTTATTTGTAAATTTTATTTCATAAAATGCGAATTAATAAGTATTAAAATTGCTCATGCTAATGCTATTACGTTGTTCGGATTGGTTTTTATTACCTACGAATCTACGTGTTACTGTGTCGATATTGTATTAACATTTGTCTGTAAATAATATCGTATTTTACCATTTAAAAGTATAAATTGCTATGATCGTTTTTGACAAAGACAAAAAACAGTTGAGGAAAATGACTATTTTTTAAAAGTCTGTTTATTCGGTACGCGGATATCGAAGGAATGCTTCAGAGATTTTCACGAAACGAAAAGTCGTTAAATGTTGTTGTAACGTGAACGAGAAATCGCAATGAAAGTGCAACAGATGCACGATGCATTAGAAAGTGTATATTCTTCTATTATTGTGACTTCGTTCTGTTTTCCATTTAATATATTTTATGCAGTTTATCGTTACTGGAGTGTCGTGTCTGTACTTCCTACGAAATAGTAATATAACTAGCGTGACTATACATACATTTAATGATAAATATTATTGTAATGTGAAAAATCATGCAATCGTATATACATATGGCAATAAGGCGAAATTATTTTTAATCTTCCTCGGTCGAACTTGCAATACATATTATGTGTATTCACGAGATGTACTTTATCGCCAGTTACGTTACATACCCTTTCATCGTTATTTAACTAATTGCCGCGAATAAAAACTAGAATATGCGCCAACCTTTTCTGCTTACGATAGAATTTGTATAAAATATTACGTCGTTGCGTACCTTTGTTTTTACCACCTCTTGTACATATATATTGTATGACTTAGGAAGTAATAACTAATACCATCATTATTATTAATTCCTTTGTACTATAAACATTATTCGATGACACACGCATATTTATTATGCATCACGAAAACATCTTGTATATAGCATCGCTTTATCGGTATATTTGTGTAAGCAGTCATTCTTATATTAGCATTATAAGGTACAAGAAGCGAGAATGTAATTATAGAGAATTTTGTCGACTATTCGAGATTATATGTGGTGGAAAGTGATTAGAAAGCGTGTCTTTGTATATAACTTTATGTTATGCGCTGAAGAACAAAACAATTATACAATTCTGTTATATAGGGTAAGATGGCAAGTAGCGTTGCAGTAAAAAAGAAAAAAAGCAAACTAAGCGAAAAACATTAGAATATAATAAAGTGGGGGAGAATGTGTATATCCTGCGTCAGGGATGTTTCAACATCGGTCTTTCTTTTTGTGATTTTCAACATGATGCGAATAATTTTTTGCGATAGAGAAATTGTTATAACTATTGTTTACGACCTGTTTGGTTAAGCGTGTTTGTTTCATATACGATAAGGAAAGTTACAAAGTCACAATACGTGTATGACCAACCAGTGAAAAACATTATTTCCACGATATTGCACACACGCGCGCGCGCACGTTAGTACATATACATATAATATATGCATCTGGTTTATCTCAGAACACGGAAGTATCTTGAAAACTACGAATGATACAAACAAATATTTCAGACGATAGTTGTAAGGTATAGAGGGCGACACATTGTCCTGGTATTTTTTTTTGACTTTTCAATGACTTCAGTATCCTGTAAAGGTCATGTTCAAGTTTTTAAATGGGAACGTACATTTTTGGTTATGTATTTTTGTAGATAGCATCGAGACGTTTTCAAAATACAGCATACTTGTGGTTTTTGCGTAAATTATTATCGAGATATTAGCGTCAAAGTTTTACATGCCGCCGGCACTAGTGTTACCCGATGTATACCATGGGGACAGATAAAGATGTTTTTCATAATGCTACTATTGGTATGGCATTGCCGGAACATAAAGTCGCAGTTTTCCAATGTTTCCGAAATATTGTCTGACTGAATAACTACACCGTGGTGTACATCGGGTAACGTTAATGCCGACGACATGTAAAACTTGGAAGCTGATATCTCGATAATAATTTACGCAAAAGCGACAAGTATGCAGTTGCTTTGAAAACGTCTCGATGTCAGCTATAAGAATGAATAATCAAAAATATACGTTACTATTTAAAAACTTAAATATGACATTTAGAGGGCTTTTCAAGGGCAAAAGGATATCAGAACAATATGTCGCCCTCTATACCCTACAATTTTCGTCTGCAATATTTGTTTGTATCATTCGTAGTTTTCAAGATACTTCCGTGTTTTGAAATAAACCGGACATACTGTATGCAGGGTGGGGCATTTAAATGAGAATACCTAAATATCTCCGTTATTACTGGTTGTATGAAAAAACTCCAGAGGACAAAGTTATACTGCTTGGAGAGGCACATGCAATGGTAGATGAAACTTTTTCGTAAAGTCATTTCTTTATGAGATTTTAAGGTCATCGAAGTTTTTTTAAATGGGACTACATATTTTCATCATTGCGAGGTGACAGTTGAAGTTAAGATGAATCCAACGACCTTCAGTACTATGATCTTCACGTGACCTTGAGTATAAAAAATTTATAAAAGTTGGGCAATTGATGCAAATAGTGAAGTAACTATGATAGAAAGATTAATGAAGGAAAATTTATTTTAACACTTTACTGACCGAAAGCCTTAATCATTATTATTAAAGTTGTAAAATACATAGTATCTTATAGTTGTATATTCCCGCACGATAGTGAAAACCGAGCCGGTGTTAGTGATGTATTCTTGCCCGAAAGAGCCGGTCGAGAGTGCGTAGTAAGTTCAACCACGAGCGGTCGGTAAAGTGTTAACAAGGAGAAATATATGTATCAATGTTTACAATTTACCTTAATCAGAAAGATTACAAAAAACGTGTTTACTGATATTAGTCAAGATTCAAGTAATAGTGTACATCTCTGGAAACATAAGAAAGACTTGTTCAAGTTGGTGGACATTATTTAGAGCATTTTTTAAAATAAATTTCCCTTCATTAGCCTTCCTGTCATAGTTATTTCACTATTGACATCAATTGCCCAACTTTTATGAATTTTTTGTACTCAAGGTCACGTAAAGATCATAGTATTATAGGTCGTTGGATTCATTTTGACCTCAGCTATCATGTCACGATTATGAAAATATGTAGTCCCATTTAAGAAAACTTCGATGACTTTGTAATCTTATAAAGAATGACTTTGAGAAAAAATTACATCTTCTATTACACCCCCTCCCAAGTAGTATAATTTTGCTCACTGGAGTTTTTTCATGCGACCATTAATAACGGAGATATTTAGGTCTTCCCATTTAAATGCCCTACCCTGTATACCAAGTTACTAAATATCAGATTTGTCTCAGGATTTTATCCGATCCGATTGTATTATGAAATTCGACGAGAATGTTGGGTAAAATTCTAAAGACGTGATATTCGAAGTTCTAGTCAAATAACTGATGCGACTGCTAAAAAATCAAATTTGGTACTTGTCAGTAAAACGATTACGAATCATAATTGTCATGTAACACTCTATATACTTCCCTCTTATTTCTACTAAGCAATGCGTTTCTACCGACGATTCAACGTTTCATTTACACGAAAGAACAATAAATATTTCTGAAAGTAAACGATCAAACTGTGCCAACATATGCAGCGAATTAATTCATGGCAATTAACAACTGTTCGATGTTTCTACGATTACTACTGTCATTAGAAGAACAAATTTTCTCTGAAAGGATTAGAACAAGATAGTAAGAAAACGATGTAAAATAAAACAAAAGAAATACGCTAATTTTTTGTTTGTTCCACAACCTTTTAATAAATGTCTTTTGGAACACTTATTTATCCAACTAACGTTATTTTTTTTCTTTTTCTATTTTTTATTTTCTTCCATTACAATAACATATGGCGGCACAGTTCGATCAATCCTTTTTCAGGAGGCACTGCGTATAAGTAAATCTTTGGTTGTCTTTCAAACATCCGTTCTTCTTTTGATATACATATACATACATATGTATAGTGCACAGTTCTGTTACCCTTATAGTTCTGACGATATACAGGATGGCCCACGCGATTATTTCAGATTACAACTCTGTTACCAGTGTAGTTACAGAAATATGTCAAAGGAGAAAGATGAATGGTTAAAATGATACTACATCCGTAGGATCATGTTTTGTTTAAAACTGCAATGGTGCATGTGTAATCAACAATTGTGTAAGATCTGGGTCTCCATTTACAAATAGGGAACCGACGAGGAAAAATAAAGAAGGCATTATTGGCGTAGTACGCAAAGTCTCGCTTGCCAGTTGGAGGTCCCAGGTTGGATTCCCGTTGGGTCCTACAATTGCATTATTTTTTTAAGTGGAAATGCATACTTTTGTTTACATAGATAGATTCTTCTTGTCATTCTACGTAAAAAAGTAGTGGAGTAGAATGGAAAAAAATTATTAGCTATTGAGATATTTAAGAAAAATGTCTTTATTGAAGAAAATGCTCGAACGCTTTTCCATTACACTATACACATTTCAGACAACGCTTTTCAATTGTTTTCATAACTAAGTTAAGGTGATCTCTGGTTATTGTCGCGCATTACAGTATTATCCGTTCTTTTAGATCTTCTACAAAATGTATAGGATTTGAATAAATCCTATCTTTTAAATAACCCCATAGAAAAAATGCAAGAAGACTTAAATTAGGTGAGCAACAATGACGAAATTACCATGAAGCGTTGTCTGAAACGTGTACAGTGTAATGGAGAAGCGTTTGAGCATTTTTAATAAAGACATTTTCTTTAAATATCTCAATAGCTAATAATTTTTTTTCCATTCTACCCCACTACTTTTTTACGTAAAATGACAAGAAGAATCTATCTACGTAAAAAAGAGTATGCATTTCCACTTAAAAAAATACTGCAATTGTTAATTGCACGTACACCATTGCACTTCTAAGAATACACGGTCCTACGGATGTAGTACTCTTTGAACCATTCTCCTTTTTTCTTTGACATTTTTCTGTAACTGCACTGATAATAGAGTTATAACATGATACAATTTTGCGTGGACCACTCTGTATGCATGTGTGTGTGTGTGTGTGTGGGGGGGGGGGGGGCATGTATGTCAGTCAGGCAGTCAGAGTATGTGTATGTATGTATATTGGAATATAATTGTTTCATTGCCAACAATCATTATGCATTTATTTGAAATCGTTGCAGTTTGTTAAACTATACTAATTGTAAAATGAACACGAATACATGTCACATATGTGTACATATGAAATAAAAAGGTGAACTTTTTGCAAGAATTATTTGCGTGTAGTAATTTAATTTGAACGTAGTTTGCATTTCACGGCCAAAAATTCCAATTTCCTATGAACAACTCCTCGATTCTTCTCGGTCATAAAAACAAACGACGATATTTCATACCGTGATTCAGCTGGAAACTTTGATGAACAGTACACGTGTCCAAATAGAGACAGAAAAATTGTGAAATAGCAGGATAGAAAAAAAATATTTAAAATGCCAGATGAGAATGGGGAAGAAGATGACATAGCTTACGAAGCAGCTAGAACACCGAGTCTTAATTTTTGCCCGAACGTCGAGCAATTTTCCAATAATCAAGCTAAGATACTACGGGTATATACTGTTCTTCTTTCCTTTAATCGTTTTAATAATGGCAATTGCTGCACATGTGATTGACTTGATAAATTATTTTTTCGTTTCGAAGACGCAGAATGAGTGCAGATTGACGCGAAACGCATTAGAAATGGCGATCATGAAATCGAAAATCCGTCATGAAAGAAAAGCAAAGGATTTTATTGGCGAATGCCAATTGGAGCGACCGCAAAGCTTTTACTTCACAAAGACGAAAGAATTCGCGGGTAAATTGGCCGCGAATACTCTGCTGCCTGTACGCGCTTTCAAAATGCGTCCTGTCGGTCACAAACGAAAATAAACCACAAGTGTTTTCGCACACGATTTAACGTTGAACGTTTTCCAGGAATGGGAGAACAATATACGAAACTTAATATCAACCAGCCTACAATACAAATATACAAATATTTTCGAAAGTCAAATACTTGAAACGAAAACACGCTATGAAGATGTAATGCAAGATTTAGCCGTTCAAAGAGTGATATGTCAAGAAACGTGTAACACAAATTTTCAACAAATCCCTTCATACAAGCTCGCTGGACGAACAGAGCTTTATCCCAAGTATTTGAGAAATCGGTGCGCTCTTAGGAAAAAGTATTACTTACCGCACAGACTGATGAGAAACATAGTAGTCAAGGCCTATACTTCGATGCCGCAGTGGATTTGTAACTTTGGACGTTACCGGTTGGAGATGGATTATCTTGATTTCAACAGGTTATACATACATATGCATATTTGTATATGTACTTTTTTGAAAATTTAAGCACACCTTTAGCACACAACACTGACTCGCTACTAACGCGCAATCTGATTAATATTTTGCATTTGTATTTTTTTATCAAACAACTTATGCACCTCACATGCACACTATCACGATTATCAGTCGAGTAAAATTGATATAGGTATAATATAACTTTTCTGAACGATTGTAGGTTTTTGGACTTAGTGGAGAACGATACAAAAAAAGGCGCGCTCGGAATCGGTACTACTTACTACGGTGACATCGTGCGACTAATTTCTCAGCCCCGCTATCTTCACGACGTTCCCCCGCTCTCTTTACCAGGATTTCTCAACTGCGCAAACAACTTGCTCGCGCTGCAAGTGATCACACGAATCATAAGTAGCATCGAATATTTGCTCGAAATTTTAAGTGACGAACAAAAGATGCCTCTTCTCAAGGTATGAAAAACGAATGTTTGTCGTTCGATTATCGATAACGGAAAGCTTTAAATTTTATCGTTCGATTAATCGATCGATAGATCGTTCGAGTGATAATTGTACGTAACTTCAGGGAGGACGATTTAAACATATCATAGTCAAATAAATGAACAAACGAGCGAACGAAAAAAAGAAATAATTATTCGATGGTATTTTTATTTTGCAGTTGCAATTAAAATGCGAGAATAACGAAATATATTTTAGTCCAAGAATGCGTGAAATTTATAGCGCATTTCATGCGATCATTGATCAGATCAGTTGTGTAGGTCAGCAATTACCACCATTGGAGTCTTGGATCGGTGTGAAAATTCAACGTGAACATATTAAAGTTACATTACCAGAATGGTATTTAGAAGAAGCACATCGTCGTCTTGCAGACGTATTGCAGAATACATTCGAACCGTTCAACGATTATGTGGAAAAATTGTATGAGAAGTTTAAAGTCGTTTTTGATCCGGAAACGCACAGCAACATCACCGCCTATCTCAGCACCGGGCATAGTTTTCAAGAATGCGTGACCAAGGTTGAAGATTTTAACGAATTTATTCGAGAAATAAATGGCATGGTAAAGTTCTATGTTTTCGTTTTGGTAAAGGTTAATGGAAATTTACATAAAAATATGTTATTTCAGCCGGATCACGAATACATTTCATTAGGAGTAATTCATCAAGTCGCGGCGAAGGCTGGTCTCCTTTACTCCACAGAAAAAGTGCGCAAACTGATCATCGAGGAGTTGGTGAGAAGTCACCGAAACTATAATCTTGAAATTTGTAATACATTCAAAGGCATAAGAGAACTTGTCGCAAATGTTCCTACCACTACAAAAGAGTTACTTGAATTAGGTGAACGTTTGGATAGAAAAAGCGTAGTACATAGTATGCTGGAGGATGTACATAATGAAAAGGAATAATTCAATTTTAGGTGAATATCTGTTGATGGCTGCGTCAACGTTAATGAGGTCGTTAGAGGAGAAAATTACTTTATCATTGCGCATGATGGCGTCGTTAATCGGAATGACGTCGTTAACCAAAGACCACATTGAATTAAATAATACTACCATTCACTGGCTAAAGCGAATAAGACCGATATTCGAACAAAGTAGCGCCATGTACGAACAAATTAAATTTGAATTGGAGGAAAAGCTTCGCAGAAAAATCGAAGATTTAAACGACGATGTCGAGAACATGTTCCCTAGGTGAACTATTGCGACAGTTTCATTAATGCGATTTCGAATTCCAATGTACACGGTATATTGTCAACTTGTTCTGATCACAGATTGTATATAATGAACAACATGGACGATGAGAATCGCATACGAGAGTACATAGAACACATGCGAAAGTTCGCACGCGACTTGGATCGTATGGACGAGAGGGTGACATGGATCAACGACGAGGAGAAGCTTTTTCAATATCCTCTGTCAGAATATCCGCGCATCAGCGAACTGAAAGAAATTATAATGCCGTATTACCAATTAATTTATCGTGCTTATCAGTGGCAGAGACATCGGGACGTTTGGTTAGATGGACCGTTTGAGTATTTGGACTCAAGTGATATCGAGAACAAGACGACTGAATATTTCGCAGACTTCAATAAAATCAGGAAACAATACGGGACGAGAATAAAGATGGAACTTGCGATGAATTATCCATATAGGTAATGGATGCGTAATATTAATCATTATTGATTTCGAACGCGTGAATATTTTTATTAGTTTCCAGGGATGGCCGGACGATCCGGACCCATTTCAACAGCCAGCCCCTTTGAAACTTAGCTATCAGTTTATCGAAGATATCAAGTGGTTTAAGCAATACATACCCTTATTGACGGTCTTTCGAAATCCTGCATTACGACAAATTCATTGGGACGATATGTCGGTTACAGCCGGCTTTGATCTTACTCCCGATGCTGGAACTACATTCCGAAAAATTATTAAAATGGATTTAATGGAAGAATTGGAAAAGTATAATAAATGATAAGGATGTTTCTTTTTCCACCGCGCTTTAAATCTTATTTCAAACCTGTTTCGATTCCATTAAGATACGAAATGATAAGCATAAGTGCGACGAAACAACTGATGCTCGAAGAATTGCTGGCAAAGATGATCAACGAATGGGATGGCGTAGTATTTACCAGTATACCTTATAAAGATTCAGGTGTAACCATTTTGACACAGTTGGATGATATTCAAGCTCTCTTAGAGGATCACATCGTAAAAGTTCAAGCGATGCGAGGTTCCGCATTCGTCAAACTAATCGAAGAAGACGTTAAAGATTTTTACTTTCTCTTACTTCGCATACAATCAACGATCGACGAATGGATCAAGGTATTTTTAACAACTCCATTCTCTCTTTTTATCTCCCCTCCTACATATATTCTTACGCTTCTTTGCTAGGTGCAAGTACAATGGATGTATCTATTGCCGATTTTTTCGAGCAAAGACATCGTAGCTCAGCTCCCGGAGGAGGAGGTATTGTTCTCTCAAGTTGACAGAATATTTCGTAGCTCGATGAATGGTGTTGCGAAAGATCCTCGAGTCAAAGAAACTGCAGGCTCAGTAAGTTTTGTCGAGCCTAAAAATCAACTCTACACGAGCGGAAAAAGTCAGGTATGACTACTGTCTTCTAGGTAGGTCTTTTAGAAATCATGCAGGAGGCTAATGAATTAATGGAAAATGTAAATGACGGAGTGCTAAACTACCTGGAGAAAAAGAGACTCTTTTTTGCACGATTTTTCTTCTTAAGCAACGACGATATGCTAGAGATACTGTCTGAGACAAAAGATCCTTTCCGGGTTCAACCACATCTTCGAAAATGTTTCGAGGGAATAAACAAACTGCGGTAAACTATGCAGAGCTATCAATTGTTCGATTTTTCCTGTTTTACGATAATGCCTTACTGAAGTATAATTTGATAGATTTGATGAAGAATTGGAGATATGTTCGATGTTTAGCGAAGACAATGAGGAAGTCAGGTTGCAAGAGAAGATCTCAACCGCGGCGGCAAGGGGTTGCGTAGAACGGTGGCTCGTTCAAGTATGTAAAATTTAGTAATATTTCATGGAATACACATGATATGGGATAGTATGAGATCTCAAGGTTGCACAGGTTGAGGAACAAATGGTAAAATCTGTAAGGCACGAAATCCTCATGAGCTATCTCGATTATGAGGTAAATAGACGCGTGGTATGGGTGCGTATATGGCCTGGTATGGTCGTTCTATGTGTCGCTCAAATATACTGGAGCATGGAAGTCCAGAACAGCCTTATGACTCACATTCCGTCGACAATGGAAACACTCCACATGAAACTTCGATCCCAAATTTTAGAGATGGTTCAGCTGGTTAGAGGTAGATTAGGTTTTTTAGAAGTTTTCGCCGGTATTATAGTCGGTAATTATGTGCGCAGGACAGTTATCCAGGCAAAATCGAACTGCATTGAATGCTTTGATCACGTTGGATGTACATGCTATGGATGTGGTTAAGTCCCTGATCGACAAGAAGATCGCGCACGAGACTGACTTTGAATGGTTGGCGCAACTGCGCTACTATTGGCAAGACGACGTATTCGTTCGAATTATATACGCGAGTGTAGCTTATGCGTACGAGTACATCGGAAACACTTCTCGACTGGTTATCACTCCACTAACGGACAGGTGTGGTTGTCGAGATGATGTAGATGGGAAACTTTAGAAAAAGTAAATCTAATGAAACGTTTCCGTAGGTGTTATCGCACGTTAATCGGAGCGTACTCGTTACACTTGAATGGAGCACCAGAAGGTCCAGCCGGTACCGGGAAAACGGAAACGACAAAAGATTTGAGCAGAGCGATAGCCGTACAATGTGTAGTCTTCAATTGTTCCGAGGGTCTCGACTACAAAAACATGGGGAAATTTTTCAAAGGTCTCGCTTCATGCGGTGCCTGGTCCTGCTTTGACGAGTTCAATAGAATCGAACTAGAAGTATTGTCCGTAGTCGCGCAACAAATTCTTTGCATCATCCAAGCTGTACGCGGCAAAGTCGACACGTTTATCCTCGAAGGCACCGAATTAAGATTGAATCCTGCCGTTTATGTTTGCATCACAATGAATCCCGGGTACGCGGGTCGGTCAGAGCTTCCTGATAATCTGAAGGTGCTTTTTAGAACGGTGGCAATGATGGTGCCAGATTACGCTATGATTGGAGAAATATTTCTTTACTCGTCCGGGTTCAGTACCGCCCGAGAACTTTCCACGAAGATCGTGACTACGTACAAGCTGTGCTCCGAACAATTATCCACGCAATCTCACTACGATTATGGCATGCGAGCCGTAAAAACGGTATTAACAGCGGCTCAAAATATTAAACTGCAATTCCCAGACGAGAACGAATCGATACTTTTACTCAGATCCGTGATCGACGTGAATCTACCAAAGTTTTTAGCACATGACGTTCCACTATTTCAAGGCATTGTCTCCGATTTATTCCCTGGATTGGAACTTCCGTCCCCGAGTTACGACGTGCTTTTAAAAGCTGTTCATGAGATAGCCGGTAAACGTAACTTACAGCCAGTTGATGGTTTTCTCTTGAAAATCATACAAACATTCGAAATGATGATTGTTCGTCACGGATTTATGCTCGTCGGAGAACCATTCGGCGGGAAAACCTCGGTTCTTCACACCCTGGCCGATGCGTTGACCTTGATGAACGAATGGGGCGACGAACACGGAGCGATCACAAAATATTACACGATCAATCCAAAATCTATAACGTCCGGACAGCTCTATGGATTCTTCGACCCGGTTTCCTCTGAATGGACTGACGGTGTGTGCGCAGTTGCCTTTCGATTGTACTGTACCGAAGAGACGCCTGACAGAAAATGGATCATCTTCGACGGACCGGTCGACGCTATCTGGATCGAGAATCTGAATACCGTTCTGGACGACAATAAAAAACTGTGTTTGACGTCAGGTGAGGTGATGCAAATGTCTAGCGTGATGTCGATGATCTTCGAAGCGATGGATCTTTTGCACGCGTCTCCCGCTACAGTGTCCCGTTGCGGAATGATATACGTGGAGCCGCGTGTCCTTGGCTGGAGGCCGTTCGTTCGTTCTTGGATAAACGAATTGAATGGTGAGTGGAAGGAAGGCTACGAAGAAAATATCCAAGAATTATTCAACTGGCTAGTCGATCCGTGTTTGGATTTTATTCGAAAATCCTGTCACATGACCATCAACGCCGGTCAAATTCATCAGGTCGTGTCCACTATGAAACTTTTCGAGATGTTCATGGAAGACGCAGTCGAAGACAATCGGAAAACGTTCGACCAATTTATTTTGCCTTGGTTACAGGCAACTATGTTACTATCGATCGTCTGGGGAGCCGCTGGAACTTTAGATTACCATTCACGGATCAAATTTAACGCGTTCTATTTGACCTTCTGGAAGAACGAGCAATCCGAACATCCACTTCCAGGATTTCTCCTAGATTCCCTGATCTCGATTCCAGGAGATGACTTGATTCACGACTGCTTTTACACGTATCGAGGGAGGGGCGCGTGGAGGCGATTCTCGGATCTGGCCAGGCAAGAAGAATATTCAGAGACCAGAAGCATCGTTCAGTTGATGATTCCCACCGTTGATACGGTTAAATATCAAAGTCTATTCCTCAAACACATCGAGTATCGCAGACGTTTCCTCTTGTACGGGGAAACTGGCACCGGTAAAAGTTTCTACATCAAGGATTTGATCATGAACAAATTAAACCAAGAGAAATATCTACCAACCTTCATTACCTTCACCCCGAATATTACGGCTGCACAGACGCAAGAATTAATCGTATTGAAACTATACAAAAGACGGAGAAACCAGTTTGGTCCTTTACCAGGTACTCACTGCATAGTGTTCATCGACGATGTTAACATGCCTGCGAAGGAAATATATGGTGCCCAACCACCTATCGAGCTACTCCGACAATTCTTCGATCATAGAATTTGGTTCAATTTGAAGAAACCGGAAACGATTCATATATACGACACGATGTTCGTCTGCGCGATGACTCCACCAGGAGGTAGCAGGCAAGAATTGTACAGAAGATTTTTGAGACATTTCAACCTGTACAGCATAAGCAATTTCTCCGAGGATACTATCATACGAATTTTCACGAGCATTGCGTTCATAGGTTTGCAACGAAACGGTTTCACCACGGCAGTTATGCCGACGATTATGGAGATCGTGAACGCGACCATGAACATTTTTGTGAACGCGCAGGGAGAGCTGAAACCGACACCGGCCAAATCTCATTATCTCTTCAACTTGCGCGATTTCACTCGCGTGATAACCGGTTGCACGATGATCAAAGAGGATTCCGTAGAATCCAAGTTAGATTTCACGAAACTGTGGGTTCACGAAATCTTAAGGGTGTTTGGCGATCGTCTGATTGATAACCAGGACCGACAATGGCTGTTCCTGAAGGTGAAAGAAGTGGTAGGAGTGAATCTGAAAGAAACGTTCGACGCGGTGTTTGATCATCTACCAAAGTTCGACGAACAGTTAACACACGAGAGCCTACAAAGTCTTATATTTGGCAATTTCATGGATGTGGACGCAATTCCAAGCGATCGCCGATATGCAGAGGTAAAATCGATGGAAGAATATACCCAAGTAGCGATTGGTTGTCTCGAAGAGTACAATCTGACGCACAGACATAAGATGGACATTGTTCTTTTCCGTTACGCTCTCGAACATCTTGCAAGAATTTGCCGTATATTGGTAATCCCTTGCGGCAGTCTGCTGATGGTTGGCGTAGGTGGATCCGGTAGGCAAACTTTGACGAAATTGGCTTCTAGCATGATTGGTCACGGCCTCTTTCAGCCAGAGATCGGTAGTGCATATGGTATACAAGAATGGCGAGACGATATAAAAAAGGTTCGTGTCGTAAAGGTGAAATGTATCGCGAAATATCGCGGAGTGAGTGTATGTATGTATGTACATCCATATATATATATATGTAGGTACTGATGAATTCCGGTGGTGCAGACAAGGATTTCATATTCCTACTCGCCGAGGGACAAATTAAAACCGAAAGTTTCCTAAACGATATCGACAGTCTGTTAAATTCTGGCGAGGTACCAAATCTCTTCACCGTGGAAGAAAGACAAGAAATCATCGAAATGACGCGTTTAGCCGCCCAGGGTGGCAATCGTAACTTGGACATATCGGTGCTGTCGATTCTTGCCTACTTTGTGAACCGTTGTAGAGAAAAGTTGCACATAATGCTCTGCTTCAGCCCTATCGGTGACACCTTCAGAATCAGACTCCGACTTTATCCGAGTCTCGTAAACTGCTGCACGATCGACTGGTTCGACGTGTGGCCCGAAGATGCTCTCGAACAAGTAGCACTACGCAGCACTACTGGCGTCAATGTCGACGAACAGGTGAAAATCAACGCCGTAGTCGCGTGCAAGTTTTTCCACATTTGTGCTAAAGATATTAGCGTAGAGTTTTACAACGTCACCGGTAGACGAACATACGTGACAACAGCTAGTTTTCTCGATCTCATACGGACATATGCTGAATTGATGGAGGAGAAACAGGAAGAACTCAGCCTCGCTAGGTAGGAAATCAACAAGGAATGTAATAAACAACAGAAACGACAGATAATTTATTATTCGTTGCATCACATCGCAGAGACCGCTATATCAACGGATTAGACAAACTAGAATTCACAGCCGCACAAATTAGTCAGATGAGAATAACGCTTTCACAATTACGACCACAACTGGAGGCATCTGCAAAAGAAACTGCCGATACTATGAAGGAAATCGAGACGGAAAATATCGGTATAGAAAAAGCGAGAATCTTGGTGAAGAGGGACGAAGACATGGCGAACGTACAAGCCGAGGTGGCGATGACTTTGAAAACGGAGTGCGAGAAGGATTTAGCGGCGGCCCTGCCAGCACTGGAGGACGCGATAGGTATAGACGATAGATACATAGGTGTATAGCGGGGTTTATTAATCCTTTCTCGCCTGATCTTAGCTGCCCTGAACACTCTAAAGCCGGCTGACATAACGGTCGTAAGGACAATGAGAAGTCCTCCTGCTGGAGTGAAGCTCGTAATGGCTGCAGTGTGCGTGATGATGGGCATACCTGCCGCCAGAATCGAGGATCCGGCTACCGGTAAAAAAGTGTTGGACTACTGGACACCAAGCAAACGTTTGTTAGGCGACATGAGATTTCTGGAAACCTTACGTCAGTACGATAAAGACAATATTCCCTCGCATATAATTCAGGTTAGATCCGACGATTACCACTTTTCCAAGGTATTTTCTTTTTTGCGACACAAGGAACACGATGTATTCTTCTACTGATAGGAAATAAAAACAATCTACATGACGGATAAGAATTTCGAACCGAAAGTCGTAGCGAGAGCATCCTCAGCAGCCGAAGGTCTTTGCAAATGGGTAAGAGCTATGGTTTTGTACGACGAGGTGGCCAAGGTGGTTGCACCGAAGAAAGCGAAACTCGAAAATGCGCAAAGTGACTATGAAAAGACCATAAAGTTTTTAAATGAGCGACGGCAAATGTTGGCTGAGTTGACCGAAAAATTGCGAATTCTCAATGAAAATTTACAAGTGACACTCGCTAAAAAGATCGAATTGGAGACCGAGGTATGTAAAAGAAAAACGAAACGTCTCTCCTTTTTAGTAGAAAGAGGTGTAGAGTGCTACATAAATGTCAATCCACGAAATACTACCAATTGCTGTAGGTAACAAACTGCAGAAACAAGTTAATTCGTGCGGAAAAATTAATTAGCGGTTTGGGAGGAGAGAAGAATCGTTGGTTGACGGCAGCAGCGAACTTAAAAAAATCCTACGATACTTTGCCTGGCGATATTTTAATCTCGTGCGGCATGATAGCGTACCTAGGGCCATTCAGCACCAGCTATCGTGACGAGAGCTTAGAGAAATGGAAAGAGTATGTTGAAAAATTGAAAATCCCATACTCGGAGCATTACGATTTCGTTGAGGTGCTTGGAACGGAGGTAAAAATCAATTCTTGGAATATATTTGGTCTACCTCGGGATTCGTTCTCCATCGAGAATGCCATTATCATGGACAACTCGAAGAGGTGCAGCTTGTTTGTCGACCCTCAGAGCCAAGCGAATAAATGGATTCGCAACATGGAGAAGCAGAATGAACTCGAAATTGTTAAACTGACGAATACCGCTTATATGAACGTGATAGAACTAGCTCTGGAATATGGTAGTGGATTTTTCGAATACACACAGTGGAACCTCGATATCTCGAACCTCAAGGGAAGGGAGAAAATCTTCGAGTTATAGAGGTTTCGACTTATCGAGTTTTCAAGTAAGAGAGGTCATTAACCATATCCTTTTTCTTTCTTGATCCAGTTTTTACTGTTTCAATTATGTTTATTTTATCAGCTAATGTTAATGTTTTCCGCTTGCGTTTAGAATTAATTTTGTTACACATATAATCCGGAGAAAAGAATGAGAAACGATAGAACTATGCTTTAACTGATTCCTTGAATCTTTCACAGCAAACTGCTTTCGTGATCGAAATGCATACACTGTTTATTTCTATAAATAAATAAACAATTGACGATCGTTGAACCGTTAATCCTGTTGGATCGATTGACTGATATACATATACATATAGAAATTAACTTTGACTTGTAGAAGTAAAATACAGATTAAACATTCGACAAATAATTCGAGTTAATGGAAGTTTCATTTCGAGTTGTAGAGATTTTCACAGCGGAGTGGAAGGGAATGAACAAAATTTTCGTCTTATAGAGGTTTTCGAGTTATCGAGGTTCCACTGTACACTGTACACACTCGTTTTATGCCACAAGAAACAATCTAATGAATAAGTCTGTTTAGGAAAACCGGTACTGATAGAGAACGTCCTCGAAGATCTGCCACCAGCCCTAGATCCGATATTAACCAAAGCTATATATAAGATGGGTGGCATATGGTACATCACGCTCGGCGAGAAAGTAATCGAATACAGTTTGCGATTCAAACTGTACGTGACGACAAAGCTACGCAATCCGCATTACCTACCAGAAATTTTCAACAAAGTCACTTTGATCAATTTCGCGTTAACGATAGGTGCTCTGGAGGATCAGCTGTTGGGTATCGTAGTGGCGAAAGAGAGGCCAGATTTGCAAGAAAAGCGAGAATATTTAATCGTACAGAGTGCCGCGAACAAGAAAGCCTTAAAGCAAGTAGAGGATAATATACTGAAAACTTTATCAGTAGCCGGAGCTAGTATCTTAGAGGACGAGGAAGCTATAGAGATTTTAGACTCGTCCAAGATTCTTTCGACCGACATATTGAAGAAGCAAGCTGCCGCGATTAAAACGGAGACACAGATCGAAGGGTTCCGACAAAATTACAGGCCTATAGCAAAACACAGCTCTGCCCTTTACTATACGATCACCGACCTACCCAACATCGATCCAATGTACCAATATTCTTTGACGTGGTTCATCAACTTGTACGTCATTTCTATCGATACCGCAAACAAGAGTAAAGTTTTCGAAAGGAGACTCGCGTTTCTACGTGAAACTTTCACTTATAACTTGTACCAAAACGTCTGTAGATCATTATTCGAAAAGGACAAGGTATATACATACTTACGTACGTGCATCTGTATACAAGGTGCCCCATTTAAATCGGTCCACTCGAATATCTTCAAAACTGTTGATGATACTAAAAAAAGGGTTTAGACAAAAGTTAAATGGTTTCAGGGGGCACATTATCTGGTGTGAGTAGATTTTTTCTATATGGATGCGTAGAGGATATATGAAGGTCAACATTGTTTTTTTTTAAATGGAATCATATATTTTTTAATACACTAATCGTTGCAGTTCGTTATTCCCTATACAAAAGTATTAAACCACTTATGGAAAAAAATCATTAGTTTCTATTCATTAGAAGATATTCGAGTGGGTCGATTTAAATGAGACACCTTGTATATACAGGGTGATTCACCTAATTGACGATCTGAAATTGCTCGTAAACTATTCGCTGTACGAAATAGTGTATGAAGCAAAAGTTGCATAATTTCAAAGGGGACATATATTACAATAATTGTTTTTTCTACATTGTTTTTATACATAAAGTTTTGAAGGTCACCATGATTTCTTTAAATGGAACACCCTATATTTCTTTCCGGAAATTAAGAGAGCATTAAAAGCTGAGTAAATAAATATTAAGGTGTAATACAGTAATGTCTCTACAAGTGTCAGCTAGTTTGGATTCTATAAGTGTCAGTATAGATGGTCCTGCGCCTATGGTCTATGCCATTGCTGCGCCTACGTTATCTCGCTCGCTGTCAGTCAAGCGTGTAATGTTACACCACCCGGTTTCTTTTACGAGATTTCACGGTTCGACAATTCATAATAGAATAATATAATTTTTTTAATTTTGCTTTTTTTCATCTGAAATTTTTTTTAACATGTTGGTGAGATTTTGCTGATGAAAATGAGATCAAACACGATATAATTTGAACAACATTTACTTATTAATACTTATTGAGTAATTAATTTAATTTCGTAATATATCACTTTGGATGAATTACAAAAAGAAATTGCTAAAAAAATATTTTAAATACTTGTACACATTATCCGTCGAATGTAGAGGGAGAGCCACCGTTTGGTTGCCAATTGTTTATCACATAGAGTCGTCCTACCGTTTGACTGACACTTGTAGAATCGTGCGGCCACTTGACTGACACTTGTAGAATCGGGCCACCATTTGACTGACATTTGTAGAATCGGGCCACCGTATGACTGACATTTGTAGAATCGTGCGGCCAGTTGACTGACACTTGCAAAATCGGGCCACCGTTTGGCTGCGAATTAGAGAATCGGCCTATCGTTTGGTGGGCTCTCTGGGGAGAAAGGTTACATTCGGATAATTTATCAGAAGCTTGTAGCGAAGGTATATTTTGTTGATAACACAATATTTCTAACATAATAAATACACTGAAATGTATTTTCTAAATCTGACACAGTGTAATTTTTATCAAAATATACCTTCGCTACAAGCTTCTGATAAATTACCCGATGTAACCCTTTTCCCCAGACAGCCCACCAAACGATAGGCCGATTCTCTAATTGGCAGCCAAACGGTGGCCCGATTTTGCAAGTGTCAGTCAAATGGTGGCCCGATTCTGCAGATGTCAGTCATACGGTGGCCCGATTCTACAAGTGTCAGTCAAATGGTGGCCCGATTCTACAAGTGTCAGTCAAACGGTAGGCCAATTCTCCAACTGGCAGTCAAACGGTAGGCCGATTCTCCAACTGGCAGTCAAACGGTAGGCCGACTCTATGTAATAAACAATTGGCAACCAAACGGTGGCTCTCCCTCTACATTCGACGGATAATGTGTACAGGTATTTAATGTATTTTTTTAGCAATTTGTTTTTGTAATTCATCCAAAGCGATATATTATGAAATTAAATTAATCACTTAATAAGTGTTAACATTAGATTGTTTCCTCGATATGGCCATGGTGGTCATCAGTGAGTGGAGTGCCTCAAATGTTTAGAATAATTAAAATAAAATAAATGTTGTCAACTAAAAATTTTGAACGTCATAGCTAGCTAGACATTATTTCCAATTGAAAAAAAGAAAAATTATAAAGCATAATACTATAATCCTATGCTTAAAATGTATTTTCTTGTGGCCGCCTGACAGCAACCTGTAAATCTGGCGCGACAGTGAACGTGTTAATAAGTAAATGTTGTTCAAATTATATCGTGTTTGATATCATTTTCATCAGAAAAATCTCACCAACATGATGTTAAATAAAATTCCAGATGAAAAAAAGTAAAAATTAAAGAAATTATATTTTTCTATTAGCGAGGCTCGAAAACAGAGTCCCTGACTTTACACGTGTCATGTTAGGTTCCTTGCGGACTGACACTTATAGACACATTACTGTATATCTAAAATGAGTATTTATTGAGATATTTACGATAGAAATTCTATTCTATTGAAATCGATATCTTAATATTTATTTACTCACTTTTAATGCTCTCTTAATTGCCGGAAAGAAATATAGGGTGTTTCATTTAAAAAAATCACGGTGACCTTCCAAACTTTATGTATAAAAACAATGTAGAAAAAAACAATTATTGTAACATATCTCCCCCTTGAAATTATGCAACATTTGCTTCATACACTATTTCGTACAGCAAATAGTTTACGAGTAATTTCAAGTCGTCAAGTTAGGTGAATCACCCTGTATAATACAAATCACACCTGCTAATCACTAATTCAATATCTTAAACACTTATCGATTTAACCTTCGATCGCAATTGCTCCTTGAATAGCTCTTGTACTCGTTCGTCTTATATACGACGATCTTGATGACAGAAAAGGCGCTGACGAGAGAGGAAATATCCTTCTTTCTGTCCGGTGGTGTCGCGTTGGCTGCTGTATCAGACAATCCAGGGTCTGACTGGCTTCCGGATAAATCCTGGGGAGAAATTTCCAGGGTACATATTCTACCGAGCTTCGTCAATTTTCAATCGCACTTCACGCGTAATTTGAACAGATGGAAACAGTATTATGACTTAACCAATCCGGAAGACTCACCGATCCCAGATCCATGGGGAAGAAGTTTAACACCCTTTCAACAGCTGATCTTAACAAGAATGATCAGAACTGACAAAGTGATGATCATGGTAAAGTGAATCAATCCTATCCTATTATACTTCTATTTATCCTCCTATACTAAATACCTGCGTTTTACGCAGATACAACGATTCGTTGAAGTTGGAATGGGTTTGATTTTTGTGGTACCGCCGCCCTTTGATATCTCCAAATCCTATGGAGATTCGAATTCTCTGATACCATTGATCTTTATCTTATCTCCGGGTTCTGATCCAATGGAAGCACTGACCACCTTTGCCGAGAGCATGAATTTTATTGAAAAATTCCATTCGATCTCGCTTGGACAAGGTCAAGGACCGATCGCTCAAAAACTAATCGAGAACGCGCAACTCGAGGGTGAATGGGTGTGCTTGCAAAATTGTCACTTGGCTGCTTCTTGGATGCCCGTATTAGAAACCACCTGCGAACGCTTTGATCCTTCGAATACCCATGCCAATTTTCGATTATGGCTTACTAGCTACCCCTCTGACCATTTCCCAATTACTATCCTTCAGAATGGTGTCAAAATGACCAATGAACCGCCGACTGGGTTGCAAAATAACATCTTGAGGTAAAAGCCTGCACGAATACATCACTTGAATAGCCAATGAACACATGGTCGAGTGAATAAATCTACTACACAAGGAATAAACAATGAACGCTTATCTAATACGCTAGATCCTACAAAGCTGAGGCAACAAAGGACGCTGATTTTTTTGACAAGGAGCCCAACAAGAAAAGATCACACTCAAAGCTGCTTTATGCGTTGTGCTTTTTTCATGCTGTGGTGCAAGAGCGACGGAATTATGGTGCCCAGGGTTGGAACATAAAATATGGTTAATTAATCTTTCCTCTGTTTAGAAAAAATAAGAAAAAAAAGCGTTGACACGTCACATGCGGTTGACAATCGAAGAGATACGGTTTCGTGATGTGCAGGTTTCAATGAATCCGATCTTCAGATATCCGCTCAGCAACTTCAGTTATACATAAACGACTACGAAGATGTTCCCTTCAAAGCAATCGTATACCTAACGGGTGAATGTAATTACGGTGGCCGAGTGACGGATGACAGAGATCGAAGATGCCTCAACACGATATTAGAAGATTTTTACAATCAAAATGTAATTACTGATCCAAATTATGCCTTCGCCGATATCGGACCCGAATATGCTTTACCAAAGAGGTATTTCAATTACTCTCAAAGCTTATACCTTTTTCATTCGGATAGAGACCAAGATTAACTATTTCGATATTCTACACATTATATACAGGGTGTCCCGTAACTGGTGGTACAAGCGAGGGGGTGATTCTACGTGAAAAACTGAATCGAAAATGTAGAATAAAATTATTTCATAAGAACCTTTGTTTTCGAGAAAAATAAGTTTGAAAATTTGTCGAGTACACGTGCTCTCGGCTTTACGTTTGTACTAATAAACGATACTAATTTCATGAAAAGTATTGATAATATATTTATTAACGATTTCCTTAATTTAAATTTACATTACTCATCGAATTGTTGAAAGTAACATCTGTTAACGCATACAAATCTTTGTTCTTTAAATCGGAGAGTTATGGACCGATGATACGATATTTTGTACCATTCTTTCTGTTAGCTGCAGATTTACACTATCCTCTGCGTAGACTATTTCTTTGCGAAATGTGACATTATCACTGTTTATCAACGTAAAAATATGAGCAGAGGTAACAGTTTGTATAAATACATTGTAACAATTTAAATATTTAAATTCAATTTTCTCAGAAACAAAGCCTCGTATGAAAAACTTTTATTCTACATTTTCGATTCAGTTTTTCACGTAGAATCACCCCTTGTTCGCTTGTACCACCAGTTACGGGACATCCTGTGTATATTGTATATGTATATTGTAGAAATGAATTCGAAGATTATATCAAACAAATTCAAGCAATCCCCTTAAATCCACCACCAGAAGTGCTTGGATTGCACATGAATGCAGGAATCGCGAGAGATCTTGAGCTGGCAAATAATTTCTTTCAATCCATGATGCTGATTCAGGGAACAATGGCGGTTGGAAGTACCTCCAAGCAAGACGAAATCTTGTTAAATATGAAAAAAGATATATACGATAGAATGCCCGACCTATTCGACATCGAAGAAGCTCAAAAGCGCTATCCTGTTATGTACATGGAATCTATGAATACTGTTCTGATACAAGAGATGGATAGATACAACACTCTTTTAAACGAAATCCGCCAATCTCTCATGATGCTAGAGAAAGCTGTAAATGGATTGATAGTGATGACTCCTGCATTAGAGGTAAATGGCTAAATCTAATCTTTTAATAAATAGATCAAATCATTTAGGCAATCACAAAACACTCCACGGTCTATGGTTATAATAGATTTTAGCTGTTCACATATTAAGCAGTAGAATTCCACCATCTTGGGTAAAAGCCTGCGCTTATCCGAGTTTGAAACCATTACCAAACTTCGTTAATGACTTTCTCGATCGATTAAACTTCTTTCGAAAATGGCTGAAAGAGGATAAACCAACAACGTTTTGGATATCTGGATTCTCGTTCGTACATGCCTTCCTTACAGCAACAACACAAAACTATGCGAGGAAATACAAGATACCTATCGACAGAATCGATTTCGACTACGAGGTTTTCATTGCAAATATTCTATACATACATATGTTCATCTCAAGTTTAAGTTGACCGCGCTTCAACTTCAAGTCCACATTTAATTTCTTTCTTATTCGCCAGATACTTCCAGCTTACGAGTTAAATAAATCGCCAATCGATGGTGTTTACGTTTATGGTATGTTTTTGGCCGGTGCGAGATGGGATATGAGAAGCATGCTGCTCGCTGAAAGTTACCCAAAAATTCTGTGGGATTCTATGCCGATCATTTGGATGAAGCCATGCGTAATAGACACGCTTCGTGCAGGGAAACGATACTTATGTCCCCTTTACATTACTTCCGCGCGTTTTGGTGTTCTCAAGACAACTGGACATTCCACCAACTATGTCCTATCGATACTCATAGATACTGACTATCCTGTCAGTCATTGGATCAAAAGAGGATTGGCTCTGCTTTGTCAGCTTGATAATTAAACGATCTTGCAGAATATTAATCGACTATGAATATTTCATTATCTGACACATAGTCCTTACTCTATATCCCTTTCCACTCCCAAAGGAGTTGCATTATCTTTGCGAAATATTCTTATTACCTTTCTGAAGGATAAAAAAGTAGTAACAGGTGATCGAAGAGGATCGATAAAGGGATAATCATTCATCAAGAATAACCACTGGATTAATGAAAGTTATACAGGATGGCTCAGCTAAATGGGATCACCTAAATATCTGCTTCATTTGTTGTTGTATGAAAAAACTTTTCAGGACAAAGTTACACTATTTCAGGGGGCACATGTAATAATGGGAACGGTTTTTCCTCAAGGTCATTGTTATTTTTTTTAATGGAATCCTATTTTTTTTCAATATTCTTGTAAAGAGTTGAAGGGATGAAGGAAACTAATAGTGAGGAGGATGGGCGAAAAAGGAAAAGTTGAGGGTGTTTCGTCCTGGGCTTTCCAGTGGACTCGTCAGTAAGGCTTTCTAGGAGACCCGTGCCTTATACGCAGGAGGGACTGGAAAGACATTTCTTTTTTTTTTATATTGGCACAGGGCCAATTTACCAACTTATTCGTCTATGTTTCTATCTACTACGATGTTTTCGGATTAACATTTTTAATTGCATAAGGCGGAAGGGACTGGAAAGACTCGGGTTAGAAGTTCTATATGTACATAAGTATATACAAACCGGAATCTCTATGAGGATTAGCAAGAATTCGCGGTTAATCCATTTCTCTGATGGCAGTGCATAGGTGTTGCTACAGAGAGAAAAAGCAAATTCAACGACCTTAATAATCACACCATTCCCTTCATTCAATTTCGCGATATTTCCGTCCAAAGATAATTATAATTTTCTACAGATATACTCAAGAACATCGAGTGATATGTTCGCATTCGAACGTAAACATTACATGATGGTTGCCCGTAGCATTATTCGACGTGTGCAAGAACTGTGTTAGATAGGATGTTTAGAGGACGTTGGATGGGACGACGAGGAACTGTGAGGTGGCCAGCTCGTTCTCCTGATTTTACCCCATTAGATTTTATCTGTACGGAAAACTGCAAGTGTTAGGGCTTCACAAGCATGGTTTGTGGCACAACCGAAAAATACAGTTATTTTTTAGTTTCGGATTTTTTCCTTTATTACTTGCATGTGTCAAAGTTCAGCATACCGAGAGAAGGCAAATTGTTTTGTTGGATTATAAGGAGAAATGAGTATGTGTCTGTGTAATAGTAACAGCAAAAATAATCAACATACCGAGGCAGATTAATATAAATATATGTATACATATATTGAAATAACATAGTAACCATCTGTTTAGTATGGGTGACGCTGATACGTTTTTTTTTTCTCTGCGTCCTGTCGATGTTTTGTTTTGTGTGCGACGTGCCGTCCTCGCGTATCAAAATAAAGAAGATTCATAATTAAAATAATATCTTTTAATTTATTACCATAATTCTAATACCTTTTAAAATATTCATGCCTTCTCGCGCTCAATAGCTTAAGGATGTCGTCGAGGTAACTCCAGAGATCGTTTTAACGTACTTTATTTACAATAACGTGCCTAAAACTTTAACTAAATCTCCTTTTTTTTTTAACAGACTTTCATCTGGGGGTATTTTCCGGATAAGTGAATAGGGTTGCTTGGAGCTATTTGGTCTCCTTACACTCTGAAAATAAAATTTAATTATCAGTATACATAACGATTTATTAGCTATTGGTTACGTTAATGAATGCTATGCAGGAAAATTTGCAAAAACCCCTGCAACCATCGGTACGGTGTCATGCACCAAGAGAATTAAGCCATGCACAGCCAAACATGCGCAGGAGTTTATAGTCCTATAAGATATGAGCTTAAACAGAAGCATATTATTAGTTAATTAGATTAATTAATCAGCACAGAACAGGGGGGATGGGCATCGTTTCCCAACAGTGTGTTACAGATCCAACGAGATTCTTATTTTGGGTTTGTATGGTAATAAGCTCCTATGATAGGACATGATGTTTCGAATGAGCGGATTTGTATGATCGCTGAAGTGATAGTTGGTAACCAAGGATTTGATGATTTCTTTTAGTAAAGGGAGTATAGTTCGGCAGTGAATATCTGCTGTGGAGTGGTCAGGTGGTAAATTAAGTATTACTTTCAGGGCTTGTTGTTTTGTACTCCTTGCAAACTTTTGATGTGCGTTTGTGCAACAACGTGCCATACTTGAGCAGCATATGTAAGAATAGGGCGAATACAAGTTTTGTAAATGATTATTCCTAAATAAGTAGTTAGCCTCCCTGGACCAATGGATCTCATCGTTTTTTAGAGTAAGATTGGGTGGACCTCCCTTTTTGAGGTGTTTACGTTTTCTGGTAAATAGGATTGCTTGGGTTTTACTGCTATTAATGCCAAGCTTCCAGTTGTCGAAGAATATGGATAGTGTGTCCAGATGATCTTGCAATATTTTGGCGAGGCGCCTAAGGTCAAAGGAGGCCGCCAGGATGGCGGTGTCATCCGCAAAAAGAGCTAGAGTTGTATTAGAACAGTGCGGAATGTCGTTGATATATAATAAAAAGAGCAAAGGACCCAGGACAGAACCCTGAGGGACTCCTGCCCTGACTAGCCTGAGTTCAGATTTTGCATCGTCGATCTGTACAAAAAAGAATCTGTTAGTTAAATAGATATGAATAAATTTGATGGGTGAAAGCCATATTTGATTAATTTATAAATTAGACCATTATGCCAAACGGAGTCGAAGGCCTTATTTAGATCGAGGAGGACCATTGCTGAATATCTGTTGGTACTTACATGATGGATGTGAAATTGGGCTGCACGTAATAATTGATGTAAACAGGAATGTTAAGTTCTGAAACCAAATTGCGAATCAATGATAATGTTGTTTTTTGTAATATGTGCATTAAGCAATGAATAGATGATTTTTTCAAAAATTTTAGCTATGCTTGGCAATAAACTAATAGGCCTATAACTGGAAATGAGTTTGTGATTTTTCCCTGGTTTGGGGAGAGGAACCACTTTGGCTATTTTCCACGCTAATGGAAAGTAACTTAAGCGTAATGCTGCTTGAAAAATATAATATAATTTTACGTAAACTTTGGACGACGCACGCTTGATCATGTCCGTGGATAATTTATCCCAGCCACTTGCTTTTTTGGATTTCAGCTTCTTTACAGTATTAAATATCG